ATGTTCAAGTTAAACATGAGAGACTAGACTAATATCATTCTGTAGAGTGAATAATAGTATTGCTAGATTTCATATCATAATGCTACAGAATTAGCACTGGGTATCTTAGTGTCTCTTTTTCTTCAGAGTACCTGTTCATTACGTCGTGCATTATATAATCTGTTCCCATAAACTGTTTAGAAATTCTACACATGTGTGAATCACTACATATATACCTATCCTTTCTGTACCACAGGGAAAAACAACTCAAAACAAGACAACAAAACAAATTCCTAGAAACACATGAAACAAAAAAGGTGTATAAACCACAATACTAGGTGATGTACAGTAGTTACTACGCTGTCTCTTTTTGTTTTTAATAGAATTGTCTACATCATCAGGTATAATATAATTGAACATAGCATTACATAGCAATTTTAATAAAAACACAACATTGGAGACATTGTAGAGCTTCAAAAGCATTTAATAATCAAACCAGAATGGGTATCTTATTGCATCTTGTCATTTTCAGAGTAGTTGCCTCTACTTTTAGACTTGATACTATCAAGCATACCAAATTCAAATAAAGTCAGTCAAGACAAAATAACAGTCTAACAAACCAGATTCAAATAAGACCAGTCATAGTAAGACAATGCAAGTAATGCAGGGCTTCAGTTTAAGTTAATATGAAATTAAGAATAGTTACTGTAGTATAGCCTGCTATTTTTGGGATAGCTGTCTGTGCCCTCACACCTAGGATGAGTAGACAGACTGGAACAAAATAAAATCAAACTAAGTAGAGCACTAAGACTAATGTGGCTTTTAAATCCTAATACACTATTAACAATGTCCTCTGCCTCCCTTCTTTAGACAATTCCTCCCCTTTCCCTTTCTCAGGGTGCTTTGCATATTTTGGGTCACACTATCTCCTTTAGTTTTTAGATTAGAGGCGCAACCCATTATCTATTTAAGGGGTGCTGAATCTTTTTACCCCTGAGCTTGATCTTGAGCTGTATTCCTTTACCTACCAAAGCCTCAAGGTTTACCTTCTTTATAGCTGAGTAGTTCTCCAATGCACAAAAGTATCATGACTTTCCAAGCTATCTGCAGCTGCTGGACAAGTTGTCCCTATTTTTCTCTAGTTCCTTGTCACACAGAGCATTGTTTTCTCACCCTTGACTTTCAGTTTATTAACCCTCTTACAGGTTAAGTATATTTCCTATTCAGAACATCTCGATGGATCCTATCTCCTGATCTACTCTGCCTGTCTTTTTGTTGGTGTATCAAGGTTATCTATATTAGATATTATAGCCAACCTTCTCTGCCTCATCTCTGCTATTCTATTTTTCTGCTATAATTTGTCCACTTTTGTCCTTCATTCCACTGCCTGCCCCATTCATTGAAGCCTCTCTGCCACTGTTGCTGGAATTATGGTATTTTTTTCTATCTCTCTCTAGAATGACCTTCAGTATTTTTGTAGGGTTGGTTTGGTGGTCACGAACTCCCCCAGTTCCTCTTTGCCATGAAAACGTCTTGTTTCTCCATTAATTTTGAGAGACAGTTTTGTAGGGTACATCAATCGGGGTTGGAGTCATTTTCTTTCAGGGCTTGCACCACTTCATTCCAAGCTCTTCTGATTTGATGGTTTGTGTTGAGAAGTCTGCCATTATTTTGATGAATTTTCCTTTATAGGTAATCTGTTTCTTTTCACTGAATGCATTAATATTCTGTTCTTGTGGTGAATTTCTGGGATCTTGATTATTATATGTCTGGGTGTAGATCTGTTTTGGTTGTAGTTGGCTGGCTGTATGCCTCATTTATCTGGATATCATTTCATTTTCCTATGCTTGGGAAGTTTTCCTTAATTACTTCTGGGAATAGTTTTTGTAATTCATTTGTGTTTACTCCTGCTTCTTCATTCATGTTTTTTATTCTTAAGTTATATATCCTCTTGTCATCTTCTAGCCTTTGTATTGTTACTTCCTGGTTCCTTGTTATTATTAAAAGGTATTTTCTTTCATGATCACACATTGCAAATCTATCTTCAAATTTTGAGAGGCTAACTTTAGTTTCTGTCAAGGCATTTTGACAGCATTCAGTGGAGTATTTAATTTCCTGGTAATCTCTTTGAATCTGTTTCATGTATTCTAGATTTTGTTTATATTCTTTACCAAAGGTTTCTCTTCTTTTTCTGGGTTCCTCCATTCTTCCATCTGTGTTTCCTTGAGAGAGGCTTAGCATTTCTTTATTGATCTTTTTATCTCTTGCCTCACTTGGGTTAGAATTTCAGTTTTAAGTTCATCTATGAGGTCACAAAGGTATTTCTTTATGTCTGCTGACGCTGTGGCTGATATTGCATAATTGCTGCCCTGGATCTCTTTTGTTATTACCTCTCCTGGACTTATTTTCCCAGGGTCAGTGGCTGGAGGCTTTTTCTTATTTCTTTCTCTTTTCATGTTTCTGGTTTCTTTCAGACAGTTGTATGGAGATCTTAGGCCCTTTCCATATTGCTTACAGTTTTTCTGAAGCATGCTGGTTGGGGGCTTGCTGCCTTCTCCAGATTACTGCTATCTGAGGTGCATGCAGGGATGATGTGGGCTAGCCCTTCTTCTCTGAGCCAGTCAACCAGCAAGTGCCTTCAGCATGTTAGTCTGTACTGTGTGGACATCACAGGTTCAGGACAGTTTCATCCCTTGTTTTTTGGGTCCTGACCAAGGACATGACCCAGCCTAAGCAGATCCCACTAGTCCTCTTTGGGCCAGGGGTGGCTGACTGACACCACTGTGGTTCTAGGTTCAGGCCTGTCCTGCCCAACTCCAATATGCCCTCCAGCCAGCCACACCCACCATGGGACCCAATTTCCATCACTCACTGTGAATTAATGCAGCTCTCCACGTTAGCTCCACTCTATGCTGTGCCACATCCTCCTGCCAAGGACTCCAGACTCACCAGCTCCCAATTTTGGTGGCCATGGATTCAGTGTGACCTTGAATTGTTAGACTCCAAGTCACGCCCAGCACAGTGCAGGACCAGTCGTAGTGAATGCATCTGGTTCCAGCCTTTCATCCACGTTTCTCCTTCCTTCCTTTCTTTTTCTTTTTCCTCAGTTTCTTCCTGAATCATGAGAATCCCTCTCCTTTCATCTGGTGTTCTCCATGTTGTTAAATTCTAGCGTCTGAGTTGTTTTTCTCAGAGAGGCTCTCTACCCCGCTACCTATGTATCTGCCATCTTCAGAACTCTGTTCACATTCCTTTTTTAAAAAGATGATTTCTATCTTTCTTTCTTATTCAAAATGCAGGTAAAAGTATTGTTTGTTTCTGATTGCAAATAATATTCAAGAGATTATTTTTTTCATTGTATTCATATTGAGTATTGTAGTCCAATAAGCCATCATTTCCAGTCTACATAATGGCTGGTAATTAGAGCAATTAATTTTATACACTTGAAGTGTCTATTTGAGTGAAAACTGTGGGATTTAAAGTTTATATATGTGATATTCTATTATCACAATTAATAAGGCAATGTTGAAAACAAATATGTTGGTAGGTCGCAAACCACCTGTTTAGCTGCAAATATAGTTTAAGTATTTTAATCAGCATTTAAATTTCAACTACTTCCAGGCATGATGGTGCATCCTTATAATCCCAGCACTTGGGAGGCTGAGGCAGGAGGATCACTGAAAGTCTGAGGACAGCCTGGGGTGTGTAGGGAGATCCTGTCTCAAAAAAATTCAACTATGGATTTAAATATCTAATATATTTGTGATATATCATAAATTTTCATCATAGGGTACACTTAGGTCATCTTGATACTTTTACTTTCCCTTCACTACCTTCTACACATTTAGAGACATATAATTAACTTCATAAAACATGCTCATATTTGTGTTATTTGTTAAGAATTCTATTTAAGTTTTTTTTTTAATTTTCAAGAGAATAAAACCAAATGTAACAAAACAGAATAAAGCCCATCAAAACAAAACAATTAAAGTGTTACAGAACTTCAAAACAACATAATAGGAAATCAGCAATGGCAAACATAATATATCTTGCTATCTTCAGAATCACTGCCCATATCACCAAACATGATAAAATCAAACAAAATAAAATAGAATAAGACCAAACAAACAAACAACAATGAAAATGATACAGGACTTCAAAACAAGATAATAGGAAATTAACAATGTCTACCATAGTGCCTTGTGTTATCTTTCAAAATAGCTGTCCAGACCATCAGACATAGGCATCTAAAATTAACCAAACAATATAAGAACTAATTATATCTTTACTTTAGTGGCCATCTTTTCAGAAATTTTAGGTGTGTGACTTCTAACTTCTGCTATGTCTGTATCCCCTGAACTTGTTCTGTGTGGGCTGCAGATCTGGGGTTGTATTCTGCTCCTTTGTCTTGACATTTTCCTGTGTTCCATGGATTCAATCCATTTCTTCATCCCACATGCTTCTTGCATTGTCTTCCAATCTCTCCATGTAGTGGATAGAATTCAGCACCTTGGTTCCTCCAATTCAGGGTTCCTGCAGTAGTGAAGAGCCATGGGCAGAGGTTCACTAATGCTCCCAATGATGGTGGGGCCTTGGCATGTGGCTTCTTCTGGCTGTGGCTGGATTGGGGATCTGTCTACAAAGCTAGTGCATAGCCTCATGGATAATGAATATTCCTTTCACTTGTGAAGATTTTCATAAACCTCTTTGAAAACCATTTATCCTCCTCACCAGACAATGATCAATCCCTCTTGGGGTATAAACCATGTGCCTATAAAAAACATGTTCAGTTATCAGCCACAAAATTTTATAAATATTTATCAAGATTAAACTACTCAGGGCCAAGGGATATAGCTCAATGGTGCAGCACCAACAAGTATGAGGCCCTGAGTTCAATTTCCAATACCAAAAAAAAAAAAAAAAAAAAAATTGATTATAGTACTCAGCATGTTGTTAAGTTCTATTCTTTATTTTCATCTTTTGGGGGAAATACTAAAAATATTTTAATTCCATCTCACAATTTCTATACTTTATGAAAAACAGTTTTATGTAACTGACACACAATGAATTTTACATTTGGAACAGTACCATTTGCTAAGTTTTGACATAGATATATACTCATGAAATCATCCCATTAATTTAAATAGTAAACACATTCTTGCCCCGTTTGCTTTGCTTTTGTTTGTATAGTACAGAGTATTTGCACTAAGATAGTCCCTTTTTGAATTTTGAAACAGTTTCACTAAATCACTAAGTTGTCTAGACTGGACTTGACCTTGAGATTCTTTTGCCTCAGTCTCCCAAAACATTGTAGTGCCATTATTCCTGGGTTGGAGTACATATTTTAAAGATGACCTGTCCAAACTTGATCTGCTAGCCTTCTAAACTAGAGCCACATGCTTTTCTTTTGACTCCTTTTTTCTTTACATAAACTAAAACCATCATAACCTTGGGTGTGCTATTGACTCTGTCACTTCCTAGCTATGTGAATGTAGGCAAGTTGTGTAACTACTCTGCCTTGGTTTTTTTTTTTTTTTTAATTGTTTAGTACATTTTAAATAGCTTATTTAGATCATATAAATTAATGGGCTTTAGTTTGCTGAATTTGTACATGCACAGCTACACTTCACTCTTTTCCTCCTTTCATCTACGTTTACTCCTAGTTTCACATTTTTGGTGATTCAAAGTGTATAATGTATTTTGTTCATACTCATGCCCTTTATTATTACCTCCCATCACCTCTACTTTTCTTTATTTTTCTCTTCTTCTTGTATAATAATACTCTGCATTTCTGCTTTCTTGTCTTTTTTTAAAGATGCTACTTATTAGGAAGATATAAATATAACTAAATGTACTGTTAGAAATGGATCCTGGTCAGAACAGGTAGGATCCTGGGGGCTTAACGTAGAAGGTTATGTTTTTCTGGCTCCTCACTTCTCTCTCTCTCTGCTTCTTGTCTTTCATGCTCTGAAAATGAAAGAAAAACAAAGATGAGTTATTTCCCATTCCTCACCCCTTCTGTCTTTACTAGTACAGTAGTTAAGTTTTTTTATTCTTCAGATATTTATTTAACTCAACATCATTATTGGTGAATTATTTTCTACTATTTGCATACACAAATTGTATTTAGAAGATACTTTTGGTTTGATTTTTTAAAATTTATACTACAAATATAGATTTATTTCTATGTTTAAAGTTGGTACATAATTGTTTCTTATGGTACATAAATATACAGATTTTTGGTGACTCTACTATTTTTGCTGATTTTTTTTTTATTATCGCTGGGGTAGCAGAATTGTTGCTATTAATTGAATTTTTCTCCATGCCAGTACATTGGTACCTCATGATTGCTTTACTTTGTGAACCATTTGTTTCACAAATAGATGCATTTATCCCAAGTTTGTTTTTGTTTATGAGCTCTGCTTTGATGACAAACAGGATCAGTTATCTTTCCAGCAAAAACAGTACCATTGTTTCCAAAATTTTGGAATGAAATGAACTCATGAACTGAGGCACTGCAGTGTCCAAATATTCTTTGTGCCAGTGAAATATTGTGGTTGACTCCTCCGGAACTGAGTACTGGGCCAATTACATTGCATCCTCCTCTCTCACATTAACAGAGGTTAATGGATCTTGGGATGGATGCAAAGCCCTGTAGTGAGAGGCCTAACTGAAAAGCAGACACTAAGCAAAGAGGTATTCTCATATAATCAAACAGAAAACCTCAACACACCATACACATGCAGAAAAAATATAAATACCGAAAATCAAAGCAACTAAATGATTTCCAAAATACTCAAGTTCCACAAAGTTGATCCATGATCCATAGACCATCAAGGGGAAGGAAGTCAAGTACAGACAGCTGGATCATTCAAAATGATAAAAGCAGACACAAAGGTTAAATGAGAAAGATTGCCTGAGGATATCACAGAAGAAGCAGTAAATGATAATAGGCCTAATGAACAAAGTAATAAGTGAATTTACAGAAGACACAAATTGAAACCTAGATGAACTAAACAAAATGTTAGAAAATATAAATGACATGTTTAGCAAACAATTAGAGTTCATAAAAATATATCAAACACAAATCCAGGATATTAAAAATTCGAGTCACGGCCATGGACAACAGAAACAATTAATGTGAAGACAAAATTTCAGAACTGGAAGACAGACTTAGTCCTTATAATATATGCTTAAGGGCATCTAAAAACAACCAGAGAATGTGGAAATTTAAACCAACAGCTGCAAGTTACACAAAGAATAATCTGAGATTAGTGAAAAATAAGAAGACATTATATGTGACATAAAAATCCTGTTTAAAGAATTGGTTGCAAAAAGTCTCCAAGTATAGGGAAATAATTTAACATGTAGTGTGGCATATAGAAGCATGTAAGTCCGAGGCATAAACCCCAAACACTCACAATCAGTAAAAAATTTCCTTAAGATACTTCATAGGCAACATTCCAGAAATCTAAACTATTGACAAAGTTCAAAAAGCTGATAGAGAAAAGCTATTGTATAGTATTCTGTATATAAAACATTGCATCCAAAGAAGAACTCTATAGACTAAAAATGAAAGGATGGAGAACAAGATTCCGTGGGATGAGAATCCAAAAACAAGCAAATGTAGCAAACCTATATGCAGAAAAGGCAGACTTCAAAACTGATCAGAAGAGGCAAAAATGGTCCACACAGTGATGAGAGGAACAGTTTAATGAGAAAAGATAACAAACATAAACATATATGCACCAAAAATAGCACATCCAACTTCAAAAAACAGATATTATTGGACAAAAAGCTCAGATAAACATAGAAAAAAATTAGCATGAGGGACATCAATGTTACAACATCATAAATACATCCATTAGAAAGAAGATCAATGAAGAAATGTCTTAATCTAACCAAACCTTTAAAAAATAGACAATAGTTATCTACAATGTTCCACCTAATGACAACAGAGTACACATTATTCTCAGAAGCATATGAAACTTTCTCCAAATTGACTCTATAACTAGCAAATAAACATTAGTTAAGTATGCACGAATCAAGGCACACTATAATCTCATAGTGTGTTGGGAGCCTGCCATGTTATTCATGAGAGCATATTCATAAGATGGTGCCCGCCTGCCGCCTCTGCTGCTCCCCCGCCCATCGTGTGCCCAAGATGGCGCCTACATCCTGCTTCCGGGTTCTTGCTCGGCTCACCGCCACCGCCAAATATGGTAGTCATTGATTACTTCCCCATTATCACCCAATTGCCTGTCTCCACGTGTAATCTCATGGTTGGATAGTACTAGCCTTATAAGCTTAGGCATAGGAAGTGCTCGGGGCACAACACGGAAGAAGCCGTCGAGGACGGACATGTATTGAGGTTGCTGCCCAGTCAATAAAGGTGCTTGCAGAGGCTAAGTGTTCGTGTGCTCCATTCCGCGGGATGGAAGCGGCTCCGGACAGCTGGTGGCCCGTACAGGGACCCTGCGATTGCCCCCGCGCCCTCTGCGACTCCTGTGACTGTGTTGAGAGACGGTACGTACCTGCGGGTGAGTGGAGGCTCAACCCGGCCCTTGGTGGATGCACTTTAAGGGATTTGTTAGCCGACCCCTTGTTAGGGTCGATTTTGCCCGAAAAGGAAGGGCAGGCCCCTGCTGGCTATAGCGCCTCGGGGCTTTCTATATTTGCTGAAATGGGCAATGTTAATTGTGGCCCCCTCGCTCTATCATTGCGGATGTTGCTTGGGGCACGAGGAATTAGGATGGAAAAACAAACGGTTTTACAATTCTTCAAATGCATCAATGATTTGGCCCCGTGGTTCCTGCCCACCGGCTCCCTCACCTTGCCCTCCTGGGAGAAATTAGGACGAGACATTCAATTTGCAGAAGAGCAAGGCACGGGTGTTGACCCCATGGTTCGCCCCATTTGGGAGATGGTTCGGGCATGTCTCAAAACCGAAAGTATGGTAGGCTCAGCCCAGGGACTCAAAGAGGCACGCCACGCTTTCGAGCAGGCGTGCTTGGAGAGCTCCAGGGAGGCCTCAGAGGTTGGCTCACCGAGCCATTCAGATTCAGAGGGGGAAGACCCTAAGGTGGGCCCAAAGGAGGAAACTGACAGTAAGATAGGCCCACATCACAATACAGGGCAGAAAGTTCATAAAAAAGTTCATAAACCTGCTGGAGCCTTGTGTGAAGGGATGATGGAGAGCCTAGGGGAGGAGCTCGAGAGGGTGGAGAGTGATCTGCAGGAAATGTGCACCCCCGGCGAGGCGGGGTTAGTCCCGTCGGCCCCTCCCTGGGAACCACCCCAGGGAATGAGTGCCCCTGATGGTTGGGGGCCGCCTCCTCCCTTCCCTGCCACACTTCTGTTCTCTGGACGCCGCTCATTTCATGGCAGTTTATGGGACGTCTTGCGTAGGGGTCTTGCCTCGTATGACGCTCCCAGCTTCTACCCGGTCCTCCAGGACCAGGCCGGCGCGCCTTATTATCAGCCCCTGGACATGAAAGTGGTTAAGGGGTTAAAAGAGGCAGTCTCCACTTATGACCCCAATGCCCCCTTTACGCAGGCTCTTTTGGAAAACATAGGAGCCACCCCTCTGACACCCTCGGATTGGGCACAACTCGCAAGGGCGTGTTTGTCCCCAGGCCAATTTATGGACTGGAAGGCATGGAATGATGAATATTGCAGAGAGCAGGCTGAGAAAAACGCTAGAGAGCGCAATGTCAGGTGGAACAAAGATATGTTATTAGGCCAGGGAGCCCATGCGCAGGATCAAATTTGACATCCTCAGGCAGTTTATGATCAGATTACTAAGTGTGCCATCGCCGCTTGGAAACAACTTGCCAAGCCAGTCGAACATACCGCCTGTCTTACCAAAATTGTGCAGGGAACAACAGAGCCATTTTCTGATTTTGTGGCCAGGATGTTAGATGCCACTGGCAAGGTCTTTCCAGACCCTAGTGTAGCCCAGCCCCTGGTAAAACAGCTAGTCTTTGAACAGTGTACCAAGGATTGCCGTGCAGTGATTACACCGCACAAAAATAAGAGTCTAGAGACTTGGACCAAGTTATGCAGAGAGGTAGGGGGGCCGCTTTCCAATTCAGGCCTTGCAACCCTGGTGAGCGCGTCTATTAACGCCGCCCTCAGCTCTCGCACCCCAGCAACACAACAAAAGACACAAAGAAATAAAAAATGTTTTGAGTGTGGCCAGACAGGACATGTTAGGAGATTTTGTCCAAATAAAGAAAGCAAAGGTGACCACCCTCAACCAAGTGGGACACCCAGCAGAGGACAAGCAGGCCTATGTCAACGGTGCTGTAAGGGCCACCATGCTGCCAAGGACTGTCGTTCCGTTTTTGATAAGGAGGGCAATTCTCTAACTGGCCGCAAAGAGTCCCAGTCAAAAAACGGCCAGAGGGGGCCCTCCCACCGGGCGGGCCCCCATCCCCTCAACAACCTCTTCCTGGGAATGAACAGCCAGTTAGGGCCACCCCAGGATCAGCAGGAGTGGACCTCTGTGCCACCTCCGGACTCATACTAACACCTGACATGGGAGTCCAATTGATAGAAACTTCATTTAAGGGGCCATTGCCACCGAATACTGTTGGCCTGCTTTTAGGGCGCTCTTCAGTGGCCCTTCGTGGCCTTACAGTTGTGCCAGGTGTCATCGATTCTGATTATATGGGCAAGGTTAAGATTATGGCTCAGTCATTACAAGGAACACTGATTATAAACAAAGGGGATAGGATAGCCCAGTTACTTATTCTGCCCAGCTTGCATGGTCAATATCCAGCTAAGCAACAGTCTCGGGGTGCCCAGGGATTTGGGTCCACGGGCGAAAATTTTATTGGCCTTCATATGACCTTGCAGGAACGACCCATGTTGCTCCTCTCAATCAATGGTAAGAAAATTAAGGGGTTGCTAGACACCGGCGCTGACCACTCTATCATTGCTCATAAAGATTGGCCGGCCTCCTG